AAGCAGATTAATAAAGCACACCTGCAGAATGTATTTTGAAGGGGCTTTAACTCTGACAAACCTGGCTTTGAGTGTACTTGCTTGTATAGTCAAAATACCATACTTCATACTTAGGAGGGAATGTCAGAAAGCACACCTTTTTCTTTGCAGAAATATAAATGCATTAGAAGGGAAGCCTCTTAAAAGTGAAACAACATTTTAAGGAGGATGGAAAGTGAAATGTAGCCCTAGTGGACAGGATAGCAGGAAAGTCCTGCTGTAGAGATGGGGGAGGGCGGGTGGAGGTGGGATAGGAAAAACATAATGGAGCATTAGAATCTAAAATGCTCAATACAGAACTGCAAAATGTTGCAGCTCCTACTTTTATGTACTTTTATTAGTGGTGGGTTCCTCCCGGTTCGGTCCGGTTCGGCCGAGCCGGTAGCGGTGACGATATCACGTCACCGAACTGGTTTCCCCCCCCCCACCCTCCCACCCACGTTATTCTTACCTTTTATTTGGTCCCAACCCCAATCTATTGCTGCCTCCTGAGTCCCAGCTGATGACTAGAGGGAAGAAAACTGTTTAAACTCTTGCCGCGGGGCTTCAAAGGGCTGTCCTACAGCTGATCAGTGTTAAAAGCAAACAAATGAGTCGGGTTGTAAATGCGAGGACTGGTCGTAAGTGCGAGGACCTTCCAGAAATGACTCTGACCAGCTAGCCACGCCCACCTAGTCACATGACCTCCAAGCCACACCCACAAAATAAGCCACGCCCACAGAACCAGTAGTAAAAAAATTTAGAACCCACTTCTGACTTTTATGTATCTGTATGCATTCCTCACAATCAGTATGTGCTGGGCTGGTTTCTTTCCTATTTAAAAAGCAGATAGCAATCACTCAATGTAACTTATTTAGTTTTATATTACATGCTTTTGGGAGCACATTCTATAAAACAATCACATTATATCACATTAGGGTCTTTTAACTCGGTCCTCAGCTTCTTTCACTATGCCCTCTGCCTTCTTTTTAAAACTTTTTAACACCAACCCTTCAATATGGCCCAAGACAAGAAATAAATGAAGCTCTGATTTATATGGATGCATTCATATAAATCAGCATGACCAGTTAGGAAACCATAATCAATAAGGATTTATATAAAATTCATTTCTACTAATATATGTGTACAAAAGCAGGTTTTAAATAATAGCCATAATTTACATAAGAAAAAGCACAGCTCTTATCATAATGACTAGGTGACCTGTGTGTCTGCTTTGTCCAGATCGTAATTGTTGAGTGTCATTTTCGGAGCTCCTCATTCGCCCTTTTTTTCAAGGCCTTTTAATTAGACTTACATCGCACACTCATTCAGACAGAAAACACTTTCAAAGAGAGGATGCATTTAGTGAAACCCGAAACATTGTTTCTGCAATGTATAGACAGAAATGAAAATATATGTTAGATTTGCTGTCCTGAGACAAGAAATCTGATAGTAAAGAAAGAACAACAGGGACAAATATGTTTTACATATGTGTGTTTGTGTATTATATATATTATAATATATATATATATAATTTTATATATATAATATATTTATTATAATCCTCACTTAGCAACCACAGTTGGGACGGGCAAGTTGGTTATTAAGCAAAATAGTTGCTGACTTAATTGTGCTAATGATCTTACTGCAGCTACTCAGGGCTGTCTTAATGCATGGGCCTGATGGGCACTTGCCCCTGGGCCCGACGAGCATAGGGGCCCCATATTAATCTGTGTAGGTTAACCCTTTAATGCACCTTGTATTATATAAATACAGCAACTGTATGGCTTACTGAGTATTATTGTGTTTTTCAAGCCTCGTGTATTGTTCAAATGTTTATCAGGTTGATTAGTTGTTGCTGCACAGCAGGTTTTTAATGTTTCAACACCGATTTTGTTGGAAGTGCCAATAAAATAAATATGTTTAATTTTATCGACCATTTACATTTTTATTCCTGTGAGTAGTTATCATAGGGGCCGCAGTACACTGCTTTGCCCGGGGCCCATAAAGCTGTTAAGACAGCCCTGTGCAGCTTTCCTTTGCTTTACAGATCTGCCAAGAGTCAAAAATGCAAGGATAGGTTGCAAAGTAACTTTTGTAATTTAATAACCCAGCTGAATTCTGTATCTCTAGTGAGGAGTAAAATTAATCTAAGCAGCTTGCTTTTTGTAACATCTTGCTTGCAAAGCTTTTCCAAAGATTTCATATTTTTTCTGCCATTTTTGGCTCATCCTAATTAAGATATTAGCCACAATCCTTTGGCTTTGACTCCTGCTCTGCCTTCTTTCCTCTTTTGTAACACATCAGTTATTCTACTAAGATATCAATCTGGCATCCACTTTGTCTCACTTGCTTGGCTACCTCTTTTTTGGGCAGGCTGCTTTGGGACCATCTATCAGACAGCTGCTTTTTGACCCTGGGGGGAAAAAATGGGTGGAATCTATTGTTGCTGGCAGAAATAAGCATTGGACAGGCCTGTACCTGAGTATTTTGCAGAGAAACCTAAGAGTGAGACTTAGTTAACAGCAGCTTTGACACACATTTCAATCAGAATAGAGAATAGGGACCTTGGAAGTCTTCTAGTCCAACGCCCTGCTCAAGCAGGCACCCTATACCATTTCAGACAAGTGGCTCTCAAGTCTCTTGAAAGCCTCTGGTGATGAAGCACCCACAACTTCTGAAGGCAAACTGTTCCGCTGGTTAAGTGTCCTCACTGTCAGGAAGTTTCTCCTTAATTCCAAGTTGCTGCTTCTCCTTGAGAGAAGCAATCTTCCCTCTATCAAAATCAACTGGAGAGACAGGCATTTGGACTGGATCAGAAAGAAAATGAAAGAATATTTAAAAGGCGAAATAAAGCACTTAATCCTTCCCTTCCTTGCCCCCCTCCTGCCCTCTGTCTCTCACCTTTCCCATCCTCTTGCTTTCCACGCACTCTTCGCACTTCAGAACTTATTTTAGGCAGGCTGATGAATCCCAGATGTCTAACGGAAGGCAGCAGGAGATACGGTTATTCCATTTGCGGTTTCACACGGCTTCCCTGACAACCTCTTGTATGAGACCGGCCAAGTGGGAACAACCTAATCAAGTGAAACCAAAAGAGTCGGATGCACTGTCATGGTGTGTGGGTGGAGGAAACAGTCAGTATCAAAAACAGCCAGGTGGTTTTGTTTCCCCCTCCCCCCCACCTGTCTCCGGAGTGAAATTGGCCTACTAGGAATTTGCTTGAAGAGCAAACTGTGCAAGCATCAGGAAGCAACTCTCAAAGCCATAGCGAATATACCTCAGGCTGCCATTCTATGCCACATGGTTCAAGGCTTTTGAACCTTTCTGAAGACAAGATGCATTTGGGAGTAGAAGGGGAGAGCTTGACTGAAATTCTGATTCATTCACATGCTAATCTTTTCCCAAGTTTTCAGCAATGAAGTACTCTAGGTAACGGTAGTCCTTATCCTATCTCTCCAGAATTGTTGGGAAGGATAGAAATGTCTCGTTTCCCCACCCCCCACCCCAGTTTGAGTTTCTTGTGGGGGGAAGCAGAATATGAGTGTAATTAGTACATAAACCCCCAATATTTGTGTTAAGTTTATGTTTTACCAACAAAGAAATAATGGGAGACTAGTATAGATCTATTTCAAGCGATTTAGCTCTCATCAGCTAGCCATACTATTCTGGGATTCGAACCAGGGCTTAATAGCTAAATAGATTAGAGGTAAATTGCTTGAAATAGATCTATACTAGTCTCCCTTTATTTCTTTGTCTATAAAATATAAATTTAACACAAAAATAGTTTGTCGCGTAAGCAACTGCCTGCAAAGGCTCCTAGATTGGGGCTGAAAGGCAAAAACGGAAGCAATATGCTCCGTCCCATAATTGGGTAGACCAGTTTGTCCTGACAGTCTGGTCCCACCGGGAAAGAAAAAAAAATATTAAAATCCCCAATAGTTCATTAAGAAAGTGAACTAGACTAGTGTTTCAACCAGTTCAATGGTATTACAGCTCCTATATACGCATCACTGAAAAAAAATTGGAAACAAACAGAACAAAGGGTTGGGTTTTTTTCTCCCCCACAAAAGCACAGTTTTGCATGAACCAAATGTTCTCATCATTAAATTGTGATATATTGGCCCACCGCCCTTGTCCTCTGACTGGATGATTTAATCATTTATATTGTTTATACCATTTTTATTGCTTACACCATTTTTATTGTAAGTTACCATGAGGCTAATATGAAAATTTAACAACACATCCAATAAAATAAGTGAATAAATGAATGCTTGGTAGAGTTTTATGCATTGACTTAAAAATGAGCTAAAGGGATAATCATCTCTACAGAAACTTAAAGTATCATCCTGGGGAATATATTGACTGAAATAAAAGCACTAGGCTTGGTTTAAACTAGCTGCAATAGACAGGCAGATTTTTCTTGATGATACTCAGTGAAAGGAAATGATAAATATGGGAGATATGCATTCATCCTAACAGTTCTTCCACATAAAATTAGATTTACTTTTTACTTCCACAGTCAAATCACTTGAAGTTCAGGCTTCTTCCAGTTTTAAAATGCTCTGTTATAAAATATTGCTACATTGGCTCCCCAAAATTCCTTAAAAACAATTGACTTTTCTGCTGGCATGATTACAATTCATCTGAAAGCTTAACTTTATTTATTTATTTATCAAGAACGTTTTAGGTAATTTATATAAGTATAAGCATGAATTGAATACATAAAATAGATACAAATAGAGGAAACATTAGGACAGGGACAGTAGGCACGCTGGTGCTCTTATGCACCAGCATAATTATGGTAGAAGCTGCCCTAATAATGTGAGGAAAAATGGCATCCGGGTCTCCCTCTTGAAATCGTTACTTTAAGGATTTCACTTCACTTCCACTACTCTCTCCTCCCCACCCACCCCAAAACACATTGTGACATATTGTTTTCCAAACTAACTCGGTGCTCTTCTCTTTTTGGTATTGTGTAGGTTTTTTGTCAACTTCCCGTCTGCCAAGCAGTACTTCAGCCAATTCAAGCACATGGAAGATCCACTAGAGATGGAAAGGAGCCTGCAGCTGCGTAAACATGCCAGGAGGGTCATGGGGGCTATTAATAGTGTGGTGGAGAATATATACGATTCAGAAAAGGTCTCCTCTGTGCTAGCTCTGGTGGGCAAGGCACATGCTGTCAAGCACAAAGTCGACCCTGTCTACTTTAAGGTAAGGGCAAAATCATGTCCTTGAACATTGATAAGAAAACCCCAAACCAAATAAAGTAGACATAAAACAGTAATATTCACTGGCTAATAGGTCCTTGCAATTTCCAATTTGGTTCTTTATTATCTCAAAATAATTAAGTGATGTAGAATCTCCATCTAATTCACGGGTGTCAAACCTGCACCGTCACTTTGCCATCACGTGACGTTTTGCGATGTTTTTCCCATTCAGGGAGCTGGGGTGGGCGTGGCCTGTGCGTGACACATCCAGTCCGTGGGCCACCAGTTTGACACCCCTGATCTCATTCTAATAACAGAATCTATACATCAGCCCAGTCGGGCTTCAGGCAGGGGTACAGCACAGAAACGGCTGTTGGTGGATGATCTCTGGAGGGCTCGGGACGGGGTTGCTCCTCTGTCCTAGTTCTATTAGATCTCTCAGCGGCTTTTGATACCATCAACCATGGTATCATGCTGCAGCGGTTGAGGGGGTTAGGAATAGGGGGCACCGTTTTGCAGTGGTTCTCCTCCTTCCTCTCTGACCGCTCACAGTTTGTGTTGGCAGGGGGGCAGAGGTTGACCTCGAGGCACCTCGCATGGGGAGTGCCGCAAGGGTCGGTCCTCTCGCCCCTTCTGTTCAACATTTCTGTGAAGCCGCTGGGTAAGATCATCCGTGGTTTTGGGGTGAAGTGTCATCTGTACGCTGATGATACTCAGCTGTACATCTCCACCCCAGACCACCCCAACGATGCCCTTAATGTGATGTCTCACTGCCTGGAGGCCGTGCGGGTCTGGATGGGGAGGAACAGGCTCAGACTCAACCCCTCCAAGACTGAGTGGCTGTGGCTTCCGGCGTCCCGATATAGTCAGCAGGTGCCATCGCTGACTATTGGAGGTGAATCTTTGCCCCCCACAGAGAGGGCTCACAATCTGGGTGTCCTCCTGGATGCACGGCTGTCTTTAGAAGAGCATATGACGGCTGTGCCCAGGGGGTCCTTTTATCAGGTTTGCCTGATTCGCCAGTTGCAGCCCTTTCTGGACCGGGACGCCTTGCGCACGGTCACTCACGCCCTTGTCACCTCCCGGCTGGACTATTGTAATGCTCTCTACATGGGGCTCCCCTTGAAGAGCACTTGGAGGCTCCAACTGGTCCAGAATGCAGCCGCGCGGGTGGTTATGGGCGCAACTCGTTGTGCCCATGTGACACCCCTCCTGCGCGAGCTGCACTGGCTCCCAGTGGTCTTCCGTGTACGATTCAAGGTGCTGGTTACCACCTTTAAAGCGCTCCATGGCATAGGACCCGGGTACCTTTGAGACCGTCTTCTGCCACCAATAGCCTCCCACCGGCCAGTTCGCTCCCACAGAGAGGGTCTCCTCAGGATGCCATCGGCCAAGTTATGTCGGCTGGCGACACCCCGGGGGGGAGCTTTCTCTGTGGGAGCCCCAGCCCTGTGGAATGAACTGCCCCCGGAAATACGTAAGATCCCCGACCTCCGGGTATTTCGCTGTGCACTGAAGACTCTGTTGTTCTGCCAGGCCGGGCTATCGACATGATAATTTTAAATTGGGATATTTTAAATTTCTGGGATTTTAAATGGAGCCAAATTTATTTAATAATTTTAAATTTTAAATTGATGTTGGTCTTGTGTTTTTAAATAGGCTGTACACCGCCCTGAGTCCTTCGGGAGAAGGGCGGTATAGAAATAAAATTATTATTATTATTATTATTATTATTATTATTATTATTATTATTATTTTGTTGTGCAATCATCAATATTAAGTTTACTTGTAAGATCCATGAACAATTAAATGTGTATATGAAAATCTTCTGTTTACAATCATTCCCATTTTTTTTAGCATGAGGATTGAGTTGAGTTTGTTTGCAATATCCTAAGAGTACTTATAACAAATACATATACATTTTTTCCATTATTCACTCTACAGGGAGGCAGCAAACTCAGACTTGAATTAATTGCTGTTTTCCAAAAATATTTTTTTTAAAATAGTGGATTAAGGGCTATTTGAAAGGTTACTCAGATTGTCATTTTTAGATTGAGAAGACTAGAGTGTCTTTCTGTCCTTCAGAGGTTTTTTACTTTAATGGAAAATACTGCAGTTATATATGCTGCTCTCTAGAGATTATTATGTTGTGTCTTTTTCCAGGATTGATTTCCTCTGTCAGTTCTAGGGAACTATATTCTTTCTGCTAAAGAATCTCAAGCCAACGAGCCCTTATTTGCTCATGCTCTTTGATCTAAGCTAGGGGTGTCAAACTGGCAGCCCATGGGCCAGATGCATCATGCACAGGCCACACCCATCCCAGCTCCATGAATGGGAAAAACACTGTGAAGCGTCATGTGACTGCAACGTGACACGGCGAGTTTGCCATCCGTGATCTAAGCTATTGACTTTGTCGTAAATAGAGCACCTGGAGTAACTTCACCTTACTGCAGTTCTGTTTCTATAGATTTTGAACTCTAGATCTCTCATTGGTTCTAGTTGATGACCAATGGATGATACCATGATTGTCCTTCAGAATAGACAAAAATTTTATGTCACTCACTAGTTCTCATAAATACATATAAATTTAGTTCAAAGTGTGCCCAAAACAGAGGGTAGGTGCACTACAGAGCAAAGAGCACCAAATGAATTACCCACAAATTTGGATACATCATAATTTTGATAGTTGATAGATTATACAGCTTCCTCCTTAAACCCTATGCCCTTCAATAATTATGAAGAACTGAAATAGACTAATTAGTATGGCAAGAATTACCGTATTTTTCGGAGTATAAGATGCACCTTTTTCCCCAAAAAAAGAGGGTGAACATCTGGGTGTGTCTTATACTCCGAATGTAGCCCCGCCCAACTTCTCAAATGGAGGTTTCAGAGGCTGAAAAAAGCATCAGAAATGAAGCTTCAGAAAAAAAGCTCCCAAACAGAGCTTCAGAGGCTTTTTTCCTGAAGCTCTGTTTCGGAGGCTTTCAGAGGCAGGAAAAAAAGCAAAAAAAAAAAAAAAAAGCAAGGCACAAAGCTCACAACCAAGGAACCTGTTGCTAAAATTCACCTTAGGGAATAGTTGATTGGGAGTATTCCGGGAGGCCGATCCACCTGTCAATCAGCTTTTTTCTTATTTTCCTCCCCAAAAACTAAGGTGCATCTTATACTCCAGTGCGTCTTATACTCTGAAAAATATGGTATTTCAATGTTTTGAATTTCCTGTACACTTGATGTAGAATCACAATGGGTAATATGTTACACTGCAGTAGGATCTGGTGATAAGAGAGGGGATTCAAATAAAAATGTTGCCCTACAATCTCTCAAGAGACATTAAAAGCCCCTGCACAAAGCACATTGTGACTACTATAATCCTTAGTGTCTTAGCTGTGAAATTGTAGATAATTTAGATCAAGCCAAATCTAAAAATGCATTTTTAGATTTGGCTTGATCTAAATTATCTACAGTTTCACAGCTGAGACACTAAAGATTATAGCAGTCACAATGTAGAACAGACAGGAAGAAGTTTGGCAGAACACATTCCATAATATCAGCTGACAATCAGATATAAAGTACCCTGTTCTGATCTGCCTTGCTGATTTAAAGTATATATACTGTTATACAGGTAGTCCTTGAGTTACAAGTGTAATTTATTTATTTATTTGTTTGTTTGTTTAAATTTCTATACCGCCCTTCTCCAATATAGGACTCAGGGCGGTGAACAGCCAAAGTAAAAACAAGACATACAAAATCTAAAAACTGTTTAAAATAATTAAATATTTTGGCCGTAATTAAAACAATTCTAATTTAAAATCAGTTTAAAATTTAACTCAAGCCAGCCCAGCTAGTTGAAATAAATGGGTTTTCAGGGCCCGACGAAAAATCCGGAGGTCTGTTATTGTACGTATCTCTGGGGGGAGGTTGTTCCAGAGGGTGGGCGCCGCCACAGAGAAGGCTCTCCCCCTGGGGGTCGCCAGCCGACATTGTCTGGCGGACGGCACCCTGAGGAGGCCCACTCTGTGTGAGCGTACTGGCCGGTGGGAGGCTATTGGTGGCAGAAGGCGGTCTCGTAAATACCCCGGCCCTGAGCCATGGACCGTAATGGAGCCTGCCCATTCCATTTGTAGGCCGAGGATTCATGGGAGTGAATCTTGTACCTTGAATGCGATCATTCCCTCCTTTCACCCACGCATTCACTAATCGAATGCAAGGCTTGTTAAGTGCACATGAGGTATTTCAGGGTGGGGAAGGCCATGAGGGGCCTACTGATGCAATAGGCAACCTGCCTAAAACCATCCAATGCCTCCCTGACCCACTGAAATACTTGTGAAGATTAGCAAGCAGTCTCCTCTCCAGGCTCATGCGCCCTTCCGCAGTTCCGTTCATCCCTCCATGGGCCTTCCCTGGCCGGTTGCGAAATGGAGCCTCCGGGGGCTGGATCTGGCCCTCTGAGGCTCCGTTTGGCCCTCTGCAGGCTTCCCCTGGCCCACTGCAGGTTGAAATGGAGCCTCCAGATCCAGTCCCCAGCTCTATTTTGGCCGGCAAGGGCAAACAACTGCCGTGTTGCTGCAAGATTTGTAGTTTTGGGCCTCATTTGGAAACGATAGGGGGCGTTGATCGTGTAACTTCCAACATTCACTACGGGAGTGCTCATAACCCGGGAATTACCTGTAGTGATTAAAAAAAACCAAACCAAAAAGCTTAGTTGGCATGGCACAAAGCATTTTCTTTTCTTTTTAAAACTGTGACTGGTTATTTTTTAGCAATGAGGTGGTGGCTAAATTCCAGATTTTGGTTTGTTTGTTTTTCTAAAGTGTGTCCTAATCCAGAAAAAAGTTAAAACATAAACTGAAGAAAGATGAAAGTTCTTAACTTTTTGCAATGAATAATGAATATTTGCCACATAGTTTTAAAATATCAGATCTGCCCACTATTCTGACAAGATTGATGCCTTTTTGTGACTGTGATGTTTGAAACTTCCAATTAGACTTTCAGACACAAACATGAAGCTGGCAGCACCAGCTGTAAGTTATATTATGAATGCTCTCAAATATTTTATTTTTCATCTCTTTTATGCTGAGGTTCTATTACTTCTAATCTATTGCAAACTGGGGAACTACTTGCAGCCTCTTCTGGATAGAAATACTTTGGTTAGAGTTATTCATGCATTAGGAATCTTCAACCAGGATTGTTGTAGTGAAACACAAGTGAACTATCTCTGAAGACAGACCAGAAGTAGCAGGTGGGAGGTTGTGCATATTTTGACAGCGATTCAGAAGTGCTTTAGACATGGTGTGTATGCAGCACTTCTCTGCCGTTTATTCAAACGCACCCGTCTTTTTTTCAGGCTTCTGTATGAGCCCATTGCTTAAGAGTCAGATTCCTTTTGATTCATTAAAGAAAAACGTATTTTCTTAAGCTTGTGAAGAAGCCTGGAAAAAAAGCTGTTTTCATAGACAGCAAAATAAAATAAAATACTGCACTCACTTGAAGTCGGAAGCACTTGCCGACTCATTTTTCAGTTCAAGGGGTTAGCACAAAATGCAGCTGCTAAAGTACTAATTAGAACTAGTAATTGAAACACATCTCACTTGTGCAGAAAATAGTCTCCGTCCAGTTTGAATGCAAATACTTACTCTTAAGGTAGCTACTGGGGGGGTGGGGATCTGCTTCTAGATGAGCTGTCCCATGACTCTTTATGAGTAAAGGGGCTGTTTTCTTAATAACATTATGTGTTGAGGATAGCTTTTGGGGCTCCTGCTTGCAGAATTCTCTTGACACATAGACTGATGCTTTTCTAACATCAAGAAACTTTTCTAATTCTCTTGCTTTTATTAAGTATTTGATCATCTAATTTTATCACAGATTTTGTTCTATTGATTTGATTTTGGAATTATGTTGTGTTACCATCCAAATAGTCTGCTTTACAGTTCCCTCAGCACAAGCTGTGGTGCAGCCTTGGGCTGAAATGCAGAGTCCCTCAGGCTGCTGAAATGGCCACGTAGGGCCTGTCAGATGATGAGGAAAATAGTAAACAAGTCCAATTTTAATATAACTAAATGCTTATTTTTCACGTCATAAGCACTGAATCATTAAAATGAGTAGCTCATAAAACATTCACAACTTTTTATCATATTAACCTGATTTTTTTTAAAAAAAAAAATCAGTCTGCCTTATTGAATAGCAGAAATGTGCTGTGCTCGAGCTTGAATGTCTGCAGTGTTTCTTCTGTGTCATTTCCAAAGGGTGCATAGTCTTATTACACATGCTCAGAGCATCAAGGACAAGCAATTGTGAAGCATAAAATGGCTATGAAGTAAAGGAGAACATCTAGTTTCATGCCTCTGAATTGAAATAACCTAGTCATCTAAGATGATTAGGAAAGATCAGGAAATTAAGACTTTTATATCCCAAGGCCTAAAATTATTTAGGTACACCCCTTAGACCAAAACAGGCTGCCAAGGAATGAAAGAGCTATAGTCTATAATCCCAGGGAAGCCCAATATTAAGTTATTATTAATCGCCTTCATCTACTGGGTATTGTACAACAGCTAAGAATAAACTTCCATTATGGCAGCACACGGCCAAAGCGATAGCAATTTAAAAAGGGGGGGGGGCTAATGGTCACGCCTTGTTTTGAAACTATGGAGGACACTGAGAAATTCTGTTCTCCTAACTTTTCATCTTCATTCTTCTCTCAGATTCTGACTGGCGTCATGCTGGAAGTGCTTGCAGAACAATACACCAATGAGTTCAGTGTTCCAGAGGTTCAGAGAGCCTGGGCCAAGATGAGGAGCCTCATCTACACTCATGTGACGGCTGCATACAAGGAGGTGGGCTGGATGCACTTTCCAAACTCAATAATGGGAGTGTAATGTGGCAGGGAAGGCTTGGGATTCCTGCACAATTTCACCCTGATTCTCATGACCCTTCACTCTACTTGCAATAGGCTCATATGCGTAACTCTGTAGGTATTTAAGAAGAAATCCAGTGCTTGGCCTTTTAGAGAGATAGGCAATTGTCTGTACTGTACTGCAGTGATCCCCAATCTTTTTGGCTTTGCAGACTGGCAGGGGGAAGAGGGGATGGTTCCGCATGAGCTGTGGGTGAACACTTGCAGCTCAATTTGTTCCAGCAGCAGACACGTGCGCCCGCCGCTCACACAAATGGAGCTTCGTGCACGCACACGCCCGCTGCTTCCACGGCCTGGTGTGGGACCCCCTGCTGTACTGTATTAGCATTAGTAATCATGTTAGAATGGAAAGCCAGCATAAAGAAGATGAAATGTGTTCAGTTGTGACTTTTAGAATTACCAGATTTGTTAATAATACGGTGCTAGGATGTATGAAGCCATGCTATATGGATCTTGTTAAGAATCTTGTAGCACCTTTAACAGTAGTTGCTAATTGTATAAACCTTTGTGGATCCGAGTCCTTTTCATCAGGTAAAGTGGACAATGATCTACAAATGATGCAATAAATCTTTCCTTTTAAAGTATCGCAAGAGTCTTTTTTTTGCTTCAGCAGAAGCCAGTTACCATTCTAAAAGCTATTAGTTTATGGTAATAGCTTTCAGAATGTATTTATTTCAGATTTACTTATTTCAGCTTGATGTTAATAGAGGTATTTAAATCACAATCCATCAAGAAAAAAGTGTAATTCTACAAATCTTCCACTGATGGATGGGCATGATGTCTTATCAGGCTGGTAATTTTCACTACCATACACATGACTCGTCTGCAGTCTTTCTACAGCCCAGGAAATTCAATTCATACTTAGTGGGATTATAAAATAGCTTAATCTTTCTTAGAGCAATCCCTAGCTCAAAATTAAATCCTCCCAGATTATAAATAATAAGAAATCAGGTGATCTCTGCCCACTGAATCATCCCACTTCATCTCTCTCCAAACTCAGTTATATTTTTATTCCTTCACCGATGCTGATTCGTTTACAGTTTTTGAAAGCTGTGATTCACCTCAGTGATCTACTTAGGTGGCAAAGCATGTCAGTTTTGGCCTATTTTCAGAGATATTAGACGAGTGCACTGGGATTCCCCTATTGATTCAGACTGGGTTAGACAGAACAAAGAATTAGTCAGCTAGGCTGATGTAGAAAGGAATCTGCCAAGGCTCTGGATGGCCTCCCAAAGGCAATGCTGCCTCCACAATGAATCAGCAGATGGTAGGCAGTTCAGTCTTTAAAGTGGCACATACGGAAAGCAGTAACTGGAAGGGAAACAAGGGAGATATAATGAGGGTGCAATATTTTTTGACTCTCCTGAAAAATCTGGTTTAACTGGATAAAATAAGCTTGTTATATACAGGTACAAGTACAGGTACAGGTACACTGTCCCCTGCTTGGAAGGATCACTGCTAACTAGGGTAGGCTAGTGCTTCAGAGCAGATTTCAAGAGGTAGCACAAATGGGATACCTGGCTGCAAGATTTCAGCTCAGCTGCATCTTTTCCATACTACTGTGCTTCCCCGAAAATAAGACCCAATCGGAAAATAAGCCCCAGCATGATTTTTCAGGATACTCGTAATATACGAGCCCTACCCTAAAAATAAGCCCCAATTAAGATCATCAGCCATACAGATGCATTTAGTACTGTATTTCCCCGAAAATAAGATCTAACTGGAAACATTTTTAGACCAAAAAATTAATATAAGACCTGGTCTTACGGTACTTTTGGAGAAACGAGTACTAAGAATTAGAAGGAAGAATTCTTTCACTCAATACTATTGATAATTTGCCCATTTGGATTCTGTTTTAGTCATCTCCAGCCTGACATAAAAATGAAGGGATGTAATAGCTTTACTCTATTGAGAATGATACAGATAGTCTTCGCCTTACAACAGTTCATTTAGTGACCGTTCGAAGTTAAAACAGCATTGACAAAAATGGCTTTATGGCCATTTTTCACACTTATGACCGTTGTAGCATTCTCATAGTCACATGAACAAAATTCATACACCTGGGAGCTGACTCATATTTATGACCATTGCCGTGTCCCAGGGTCATGCAATCAACTTTTGTAACTTTCTGACAGGCAAAGTCAATGGGGAAGCCAGATTCACTTAACAACCATGTTAGTAATTTAACAACTGCAGTGACTCGCTTAGCAACTGTGGTAAGAAATGTCATAAAATGGGGCAAAGCTCACTTAACAGATGTTTCACTTAGCAACAACTTTGCCTCAAAACTTCAAAACACTTTTTACCCTTGCAAAGGGGCTTCTCTGCCCACCCAAAAATATAAATTATCAAGTAATTCAGAAAGCAAAAAACATTCTTTTTATAAGGTACAGAAACAAATGATACATATATTTAGTATATGTGATACATCAGAAAGTAAGTAATCAAGCAACAAAGACACGTGAGACTTGAACAATAGAAAACATTGATTCTAGATAACATTCTACAACTGGCAAATTTATAAGTTACTTTATTCTTTCTCAACTGGGTTTGCATCTTTCTTAAAACTTGCAAGTGGATTCAGGGATTTTCAGAATATGCTCTCTATTCTTTAGTGCTGAAAAGAACTGACAAGTTCTCCCATACCAAAAGAATGGCCTTAGCTAAGGAGAAAAAAATACATTTCCCTAAAGTTAAAAAAAGAGGCCTTAGACTCTTTTAAAATGCTAATAATGAAGCCTAACATTCCAGGTAACATTGAGATGGTTGGGACAAGCTGCAGCTTTTGCTATGAAAAAAAATGAAAGAAGCAATTTATTTAACATAGGGTGGCTTAATACAGTCTTGATCAGTTTGAGAGATGAAGATTGACAGGGAGAAAAACTTTGTATTCTTAGTGTGATAAACACATTAAAAGTCCAGGCTAAATTCATAAAATATTTTAGCCAGCTGAAGAATGTTCAATTAAAATTGGGTGTTTACTTCAGGGCAGAATGAATGTATGTCTAAGATAAATGGAATTACATACTACTCTTTGAATCAGACAGCCAGAAATTCCTAACACCACTAAATACACACACACACACACACACACACACACACACACACACACACACACAATGTCTGATTTCAAACAGTAATTATCAAGACAATTTTTCAGTTTATATGTCGCCTCTCCCAGTTCAAGCAAGGATAGATAGACAGAAGGTTGCCTTCAACGCATTTGTGTGTACCATCAGACCAATTTTAAAAAAGAAAATTACATTTCTCTCTTTATTTTTAAATTAAAATGACTGTATCATGAAGAAAGCCATGGAAATTGAATGGCTGTATGCTTTAAAATATCAGAAGAAGCCAAGGATTATGTTCAGGAACAGAATATGAACAAAACAAAAAACAAAAAACAACCCTGACTCGAATGGGAGCTCTTATGGATTAGGAGGGAAAATAATGCAAACCGTCCTCCAGCAGATCACACACAAACACACTTTTCTTTTTGTCACAAGGATTCTCCAGTGAAAAATACTTCTGACAAGATGATGGCAATCAGGGTGAACGTCCCGATTCTCCTTGACTGTGTTCAACTGGGGAGTTCTTAGCTTTTTTAAACCAGATGTCTCCCTTCAGCCCACCTACAGAGAAACCGTCAGGGGTGGGGGCGGGGGGGGGAGAATACCTTTGTATTTTTCTGCCCCCAAACCTAGAATTACAATGCTGAAGTCAGAAAGGCTGCAATCACACATATGGAATTGAATCAAGCCAATACAGTCAGCTTAAGTAAACTATATTAGAATTAGAAACATAGATTTCTAATAATGGCAGAAAAGACCTAATGGCCCATTGAGTTTGCCCTTAAAGTTTGTTTTTTTCTTGTTTTTTAAAATTAATTAATTAATTTTAATTATTATTTCTATATTTTATTTTATTTTATTTTATTTTTGTCAGATGATGGACATGTGTTTATCCCAAGCATGTTTAAACTCAGTTACTGATGATTAACCCACTATCTCCACTGGAAGTTGGTTTCAAGCTTCCACTACTCTTTCTATGAAGTAATACTTTCTAACATTACTCTCTTGTCAGTATTAAAACCTTGATTTGGAAATCATTTGAAATTTGTATGCATGGGACCACATTCCTTTGGCAATTTTAAATGCTGCAGTAATGAGATTTCATATCAGCAGGCATTCTTAAATAAGTGACACCCGTCAACTCAATTAAGCCATTAAAATGTGGATTTGCCTGAAATTTTGATTTCAGCACATGTTCAGAATATACTACCAAGAAATTATTCAAGAGAGTGGATCTGACCCTCCAGTTGCACGTTAATAGGCAACCTGTCATTCTCCTCTTCCTCTCCTCCTTTTCTTCTTTTTCCTGAGCAGTAACCTCAGTTTTATACAACATGCAGAATAAGTAAAAACCAGCCTCTCTATGGAGGCTCTTGCTTTCCCAAGTTAAAGAAAAACCTCCATGTCTGGGTCTAGATAGGAAATCATAAATTACCTAGTGCAGGACTGTCAAACTCACATCATCACGGCGACATCATGTGACATATTGGGACTTTTCCCCCTTCGCTAAACCAGGCGTGGGCGTGGCCAGCGCGTGACGCATCCAGCCCACGGGCTGGGAGTTTGACAGTCCCGACCTAGTGGCAAAACCCACTTTCCTAACATACCCTTGGTGAAATAATAAACACAGAAAAAATATTTTCACCTCTTGTTTGTTGTATAAATGAGATTATAGGGGAGAATCTTTGTAGGGAAGCAAAATCTGAAATTGATCTATTCATGGCGGAAAGTATTAGGTCAACTTATTACATGGTTTAGGGGTCATTTAGCTGAGTCATTCAAACATTAGTGTTGTCACATCTACAGTCTCAAGATGTTAAATACAGGTAGTCCTCGATTTACAACAGTT